CTGATGCATATCACCCCTGTTGTCTGCGTTTCAAGGAAAATCGCCTGCCGTAAGAAAAGGTTATACAGCCTTAGATGAATCACAATTGGCCCCCTGTAAGTACATGCTACCTCTGTAGCCATTACTTAAATTGGATCTATGGGCTGGTGTTATTGTGTTTTCTTCTCCACCATTTAGTTGAATGGCTGCAGACTGGGAAAGATCTTTTTGAAGAGTTCACATGGTCCCTGAACACCTGACCCTAAGACCTTTCCAAAGGTCGCTACTTGTAAGTCTGAAGCTTGTCCAGGGATGTCTAACTTTATTAAGCTCATCGTTTGGTTGCAAAGAAAGGAAGAAAAAAGGTTTTGTGTTAACATTTCAGTGCCTGGATGGATAGAGATTGAATGATATGAATTTTAGAAGTAACTTGTCATGTTCTTCACAAGTAACTTTAATGTCTAAACATAAAACATTAACATACATCTTTAATGAAGACAAACAGGCAAGCCAAAATGTGGATAAAGAAGACAATGAGCTATGATTGTCTTTCAGGTCTTGTCTGCTTGTTTCTATGTAGTTTCAAATGAAAGTGAATTATAAAGCAATTAAAACTTTGTGGCAATTGAGACAAATTAGACACTTTCTCTTGAAAGGAGTGACAATTCATTTTGCTGACTTTAGGGACTTTGTCTAAGTATGTGATAGGTGGATCTATGGATTAGTAGTTGCATTCTATAACAAAGTAGCATGCATCCTCTATTCTATTCAAATTACAACAATATTCACATAATTGTTACAGAGAGGTTCTTACTGTGCTGAAATGGAGCAGGATTGTTGTGCTCAATGTTCAGCACCACGGACATCACCAGTTCTGTGCTGTTCAGTTTTCTCCTAAACCTTATCTTTGGGAGTCATCTGCTTATGGGGATAAAATTGCCAATTCTTCTTAGCTTTCTGCCTTTATCATGTAAATAACTGTTTGTTGTTTATTGGTTTATTTATGTCAACAACCGCATGACTTGCAGCCGTGACATACGAGGCTGAATTTTGATGCTTCTTTACAATAACATAAATCATTCATTAATATCATAAATCAGTCATTATTAGTTGCAATCACGTCTGAATCAACAGATTAAACACTTTGGTTCAATGAATTTATGCATTTACAATAATACCTTGTGTAACTCATGATTATCAACATAATGATAAAGTTTTCTGATAGCATGGTGATAGTGCCTCGTCACTGGTTCTGTATTGCAGAATGTCATAGACTTTATTTCTTTCTTTCCTTTATATCTTATGTTAAATGCTTAACAGGTACCTTACCAGGTTCCTGTGACAACAAAGCTCTGCATATTGCATCGTAATTGCTTAACATGATTAATTCACAAACCCAATTGTTTAGAGTTCACTCTCCATTGGCTTACTGTCTAAGATATAGTTCATATTCTCTCCCTACCCTCTACACCCCCTGTAATGCAGTAGTACAGTCCAGTCTATGGATGTACACGTAATGCGTTATGCCCACAGTTGCCTTTATTGTACAGAAAAGTTATTGGCTATTACACAGATACATGTATTCGCTAGGGCTTGGAATTACTTTGTTTCTTCTCTCCCTTTTAAGCCTTGAAGTTGTTACCAATATCCTTCTGTAATGGTTAAACCACTACAATGACTTTTCCAATAGCCCCCTTGCTTAGAAGTGGGGCGCTTAGATTCCTTCGCTGCACTACAATGTTTGGACTGTGCCCATCTCCCTTTATGTATTGGATTTATGATAAGATATTGCTAAGGTGATGGGCCTTTGTTACCTCGGCTCCCATCTTGGTCTGCGGACAGGTAATGGCCAACCCTCAATCTCATCAGTTTCAATTCAGGGGCAATCAGTGGGCTGGACGAGCACTCTGATATCCTGGACTGTGGCAATTTGGTTATCTGATGGAAAGTGGGAGATTGGAAAGTGTGAACAATCAGGGCTGGGGATGATAGCTTGGGCGGGGGATGCCAGGCTACACTGCACTTCTTCATACAGCTTATATATATCAGGCCTCGTAATTAACTTTTCTTCCTATTGTCCTAGGACTGTTCCAAAAATAAATTTAAATTGTACTAAAGTGAGAATGAACTGTCCCAACCTGTTTTTTTTTTTAACTATTCCACAACTTCAACTTGAAGTAACCTAAATTTGCTTATGTTTACTGCGAGGCGCACTACAATTAGACAGGAGTAGACAGGAAATTTGGGGGGCTTTTCCCAGCCAAAAGCCGGCACGCTTGCCTGATTGACAAAAGTAGAGCTGACATTTTGATGTTGATTATTTTAATCTAAATTTGTATTGTCCCAAAAATGTCCCAAAGTGACTTTTCAGTTGTCCCAGCCAAAATTTTAGTGGAGTGGAAAGGGACCATATTCTTGTTGTTCTCCTGGGAAAAATGTAATTATCAACCGTAAGTCTGGAATATTATAAGCAGCATCATTCTCTACACTTTCTTGATTTTAACATGGGTGTATTGGCCAACAATCTGACTTAAACTAAGCCTTGCTACTGAAGACTGTTGGAAAGAATTAGCCCCCCAATCCTTGAGTGATACTTAGCGGGGGATTGACTGGGTCTTGGCTGGGTGCCATGTCATCTGGTGGTGTGGAGAGTTGTGAGTATGGGTAAAATCCGTTTCAGAAGGCTTCTCCTGGATGGTATAAATCCAGATTAATATGCCCACATTTTGGCAGCCACTGATCCGATCGGCGTCTTCGGTGAATGGGCTGGAAGGCTGCCAGTCAGTTACAGGAGGACTAGTTATTTTAGCGAATCTTCATTTGCATTTTCAGGCCCATTGGGCTAAATGCATGCCTCAGGGTATGATGTCACATGTATATCATAGCTGATTTCATTAAGTATATAGGATACAACGATAAAAGAATAACGTAAGAGTCTTGAGAACTACTAGGACTAAGTACATTCTATCCAACCCAGGTCTTGAAGACTTTTCTCTTTTTAAAGCAACTGGAGATGAGTTTTTCTACTGTGTGGTCATTACTGGTAGACATGAGATGACTGAAAATCTCTTTCTTTGTTCTACCTTTACACAGTTTACTGTGTGACATGTTGATAGGTCAACTTAACACCATGTCTGCCCTTGGAACATCCCAACAATGGCATACAATAAATGATATCTCTGTTGCATTCCCCAGCAAAAAAAACAACAACAAAATTTGCCATGTCGTTTGCTAGATTTGGAAAAATAACTACACAATTTAAGACTGATGCTAAGCACATGGTAAACTGTTACCAGCACAGAATGTATCAAGAATGGAAAGCCAATCACTTTTAAATTATCATTTGGTCATGAAATATTTGGTCAATGACCACACACAAAATGATCCACAACCTAAGCTCAACTTAGCTGTCCTAAATCAGTTAAGATGAATGCATACACTAGTTTAGTCAGACCCCATCTTGAATACGCTAGCGCTGCATGGGATCCGTACTACAAGGAACATATTTACAAGCTAGAATCGGTCCAGAAAAGAGCGGCCAGATTTGTTTCTAATACCTATGATACTTATGCCAGCACTACCAAATTGGTCACAGATCTAGGGTGGGACACATTAAAGGACAGACGCACAGCAAGTAGACTCACATTACTTCAGAAAGCAAGACACTCAAAAACAGCCCTTCCGGTCAAAACCTTGTTGACACCTATCCCGCGCCAATCGCGACACTTCAACTCCAACTCATACAAACCTCTAACGTTTCACAAAGACTGCTACAAATATTCATATTTTCCACAAACTGTCAGAGATTGGAACATTTTGCCCCAAGAGATATCTGATACTGCGGAACCCACGAAGTTCAACGCTGCAGTACTACAACACCTGAGGAAGCAGCAATAACGCATCGCACAGCTCCCCTGCACGTTTTACCCCAATCTAGGGGTGTTGTGCAGTACCTGAACAAGACAAGAAGACAAGAAAACTTTGCACCCTCACATAACGAATAACTCGCCTGTCTTTGATCTGTATCCCTGCCATGAACTCAATTTCTCTTCCTGTGTAATATTGATGCTGGTACAGAAGTGCAAATGGGGAATCTCGGTGATCAATGTTTTGCCGACAGCTCCTGAACTTTATGGACGTTGGACTCGCATCAATGTTAGTCGTACAATTGAAGCAATCATAACGGCTTTGAGATGTGGGAGGGGGGCCCGGGAACCGGCATAGGAATGGTCAGGGTTGTGACCCAACCTTTCATCAAAATCAGTGCTGTGTGAGTGTGTTTCTCACAGGGAAAAGTCCCTTAGAACTACGTTAAAAGTCCCCCGGGAAAAGTCCCTTAGATCTTAACATGTACTGTAAATTGGGAAATGTCAGTGGTGGTTTTATTTTCATCGTTTTTGCGGTGTTATGTGCTTTGTATTTCTATTATGCAACAGAATTGTCGTAACTTTGAACTTCAAGCACCATGAAAACCTCTTTTTCTTCCCTCATACTTGAGGAAAGTCTCTGTATCAAGGCCCTGCCAAGAGTCTAGCTATGATATCGAGTATAAAACCAGCGGGAAGAAATCCTGCGAATATTGATTTTCTTTACACCGCGGCCTTGTCGCGACCCCTGCGACTTCCATCAGCTTACAGTCACGCACGTCAGGCCTTGACTCTGTCAGCTTTGCAAAAACTCTGCTGTTTGAAGGCAAGAAATCAATCCTCTCCGTGGACTTGTCTAGCCAATTTGGAGGCCGGTCTGCACGGAGTACGGGATTTGATCAACTACAAATGATAAGAGAAGAGAGAAAAATGATCCCCCTGTTGGTTCTGTACATACACATATCTTTTAACGCACTCAAGGTTACAGAAGTTCCAGTGGGAAGCCTCAAACCTGCCCTCTGCCTTGTTTTTCCTTCCTATAAAGATATATATTCTCAGGTGTACGGAAATGATAACATGCAAGTCATGGTGATGTTTATTCATAGCGATTTATGTTGGTCCCTTATGCATGTGTTGATGGTTTGTTTTTTGCAGGGAAAGACAGAGGAGCTGCAGTCCTGTAGGGAGCAGCTCCAGGAGGCACAGGAACGTCTGCAGTCCCTGGAAAATACCAAAGGATGGTTCGAGCGCCGCCTAGCAGAAGCTGAGGTAACTACAGTTGCTTCTCACTGCTCCTTTGAGTTTGTGTGGTCAGTGACTCGAGAAATTGGCAATGTTGTAGCAGAAAATCGTACAGCTTACGCGTGGGCTTAGAAAATGACTTCTTCAAGAGATGATGGACTTCAGGTTCAATGGAATGCATGAGGCAAGGTCAAAGGAGTCATTTGGCCTAATGAACACCTAGCAGGTAAATAATCTGTTAATGATTTATGAATGTTAACCTTTGTGTAATAATTAAATCTGGGTTGATTAAAGCTGTTCAAAACATAGGAAAAACATTTAGAATACACAGGAAATATAGGTAAGTTACCTGGTATGTGTCTAGTTTGTATCCATCTTGCCCAACTATTTTGTTCTGCCCCTATCTTATCAAAACAATTGTATTAAAGGCTCTCAACATCACTCGGTGTATAGTTTTCAATGCTTTGTGGGGGAAAAAAATACAGTACCAGATACTATGTGAGAACTTTTATAACATTTCATCTTTTCCACCTGCCTTCTGTTTTATCCAGGAAGCTATTGAAACTGCCAAGAAGGACCATGAAGAGAAAGAGACCAAACAGGATGAGCTTCATAAACAGGAGGTTCAGGTGCTTAATACACTCATATTTCGATGATCAAAACCGTTGCATCCACATAGCATCACAGACTATTCCCCATTATATCTTCAAGTTGTTGAAAGCAGTGTACATTGCAAATATAGATATTGGAAGATACCTGTGACATAGGTACCGTGAAAAGAAAGAAGGTGGCAAGGTATCTTTATTGGTATAGCAGGTATAACCGCCCTTCTGTGTAACACACCAGGTAGTCTTGTGTGTAGAGTTTCTGACTTAATAACTGAATGTAAAGATTCTGGATTTGAATTCCCAGAGGCAGTTAACCAGTTATCCAAAATAAAACGAAAAAGGATTACAAAGAAGATTGGATACTGCAGCACATGTAGATTTGCCTGAGCCTGATGATGTTGTTCTGTTCCCCTGCGGATGTACAGAAGTTGGAATCGCAGCTGGAGGGACTGCAGGCTTCCCTACAGGAGCTGCAGGAAACCAAGGATCAGCTGCAGGAAACCATCAACAAACTGCAGCAGGTGGGCCAGTACAGCTGCAATTAGGCACAGAAACCTTGGCTTAAGCTGTGCAGCAATTAGACGTCCTCTTTGATTTGTAGCTGGAGTTGAGCTTGGAAACAAGTTTCACCAGATGTGACAAGACTAGTCTTGCTGCTAGAAATGCAGTGCTGTTTTCTTCTTGTTTGTTCCCTTGCTTTCTTTTTATCATTTCATAATAAACTTAATTGTCTTTGCTTGCTTGCCATTGATTTCTAGCCAGTGAGCTTGGATACCAGTTTCATTAGATACAACAAGACAAGTCTTGCTGCTGTTTTTTCTTCCCATGCTTTCTTTTTATCTGTTCATACTAACTGTATTGTACAACTGTTGTACAAGGTACCAGGTAAACGTCATACTAGGAGATTAATCCACCTTATGAAGACTATGATGTGTATAGGATCAGAATGTTCTTTAAATTTGCAGTATGTCTTTCAGTGGTCAAATTGTTTGGGCAAAGACTCAATTTTGCATTTGTTACAGGAAACAAAGGATGGCGTAGATGAAAGAAGAATTGTGGAGAAAAAAGGCATGTCCATGGTAAGGTTTTGAGTCCAGACATTTAGTCATACAGTTGCCTATAGCTAGTACACCCCATCTTGTTTTAGCTCTAAACATGTAACTACCAACACAGATGAACTTTCATGATAGCTCAATATGCTATGTTCTACCAACCTGATTTAACAGTAAAGTTTAAAAAAAAAACACATTATTTGATGGTACTGGTATGCCTCACCAGTGGGTTCATCAGTTGAACACCACCCGTCATGGGGAATTTCGGCCCTTGGTTCAATATTCCCTTGGGGTGGGGGCCAGTGGTGTAAAAATACCACCACAAATAACATAATTTTGGACTGTTTGTGCTGTGTTCAGGTGAAGGACCTGAAGCGGCAGCTGCACCTGGAGAGGAAACGCTGTGAGAAGCTGCAGGAACGGCTGCAGCAGGTGCTGTCGGAGAGGAACGGGCAAGCTGGTCAGAATCTTCAGCTATTACTCAAAATTATACCAATTTCTGCAAAGCCTGAATTTGATTCTACATGTAGTATATGTTTTTCGTGTTTTGTGCTGTCTTGATAAATCAAAACCTACATTCCGGCAACTTACATTCTAAATGACAGAGACAGTGGATCCCAATAAAGTCAAGTCAAGTCAAGAAAAGTCTTGTGTTGGAAATCACAGTTTAAACTTGCTTTCTAATAATGTCTACCAACACAGATGATCTGAGTTTCACCTTGAGGAAACTTGGAAATAGTAGTCTAAGACCTTTCCCAGAAGTGAGGATTTTAAAGAGTTGCTACATTCTTTTGTAGATTACCTACCATTGGGGCCCTTTTTAGTCTTGTACTACTGGTAACTGTATGATTAGGGTCTTGAAGATGGGCTGTAGTAAAGTTTTATTACAATGTCATGTTTCATGTGTTTTGTGTTGCTCTGACAGTAGGGAATGAGGACTTGCCATGCCCCTACTCTTGTTGTAGTTGATGTTTCTTGTGTTTTGTGTTGCGCAGAAAGGATTGATCGAGGACCATGACCCTACTCTTGTCGTAGTTGATGTTTAATGTGCTTTATGTTGCTCTGACAGTAGGGATTGAGGACTTGCCATGCCCCTACTCTTATTGATGTTTCTTGTGTTTTGTGTTGCTCTGACAGTAGGGATTGAGGACTTGCCATGCCCCTGTTCTTGTTGTAGTTCATGTATTTTGTGTTGCTCTGACAGTAGGAATTGAGGACCTGCTCCACCCCAGCGGTCTGGACTCCCCCCAGAAGTGGGACAGCAGCAGCATGTCTTCTCTCAGCGGAGTCCGGGAACCCACACTGGTAGGTTTCAGTTTGTTTCACCAGCAGTAACACTCAGGTACATAACAACCTGTTTTTCAGGCAAAGCTGGGTACTATTCATTCGTTCTTTATTTCAGGTAAAAACCCATATAACACATGTACAATACATCATTAAAATAACACAAAAAACACTACAGACATACAAATAAAACAGGAAGAAACCTAAAAGCATAATAAATGGTAGGTCTTTCCGAAAGAATGAATTCCTGTAAAAGGCATCAGAATGTATTAAGCGACTGATTGTAGCGTTGTTGGAGGAAAATAACCTTTTTAGAAAGGACGATTTACAAACTATGCAACATTACCCACACTGGTATGTATGGATCTGAAAACAGATTCTGTATATTTTATTTATTTACTGCCCTTTAGTGTATAACACCCTTAGCTTCTGTTCAGATACCTGTTCAGCTGGTACAACTACATGTACCCTTCAGTATAGCTGGTATAACTGCCCTTCAGCACATCAGCTTCTGTATCTGTTTTGCCAGTATGACTGCCCTTCAGTGTAACACACCAGCTTCAGTATCTGTATATGTGTAGCTGGTATGACTGCCCTGCAGTGTAACACACCAGCTTTGCAGGTAAGCAGTGCATGCAGCAGCAGCTGGTTATCTTACACTGAACACTCCAGACCTGTTATACCTAACCTTTGCATCTAGCTGCAGGCATTGTTTAAAGCTGTCTTCTAAGGATGCTCCTACTTTACATGTTGGCAAGGAAAGTTCTGGGAAAAAGTCACTCGTGAACTGTACTTTAAAGCTCTAACTGTTACAGTTCTTTTTAGTTAAGATTAACTAACTGATAACAAAACTGTTTGTCATCTACTTGTGCATCGATTTTCTGTGTGTACACGTATGTCGTGAGATGTATTATAAAGTTAGTCTACCAGCCCAGGAGAACACAACAAGTAACTAGGGTACATGTCGCGGAGTGCACCTTTGCTGTAATAAGAGTTAACCGTAATTATTCCCAAGGTCAAGATCAATCAATCTCTGTTCTTTCTTTGACAAGGTCGGTCAATGTTAATCTCCTTTCCTACCAGAAACCAACAGCAGGCAGACATAATGAGAGTCAAGTGACTGCCACACAAATCCCAAACCTTGTTACACACATGACAGTCAGATTTGTCATCTATAGGGCCTGGGAGTCTTCCCCCTCTAATGTTTGTTGCACTTTCTTTGAAGCCACTTTCTCATGACTTGACCATACTTTCATGGACATGGGCAACATACTTGGTTTTGTTTGTTTGTTTGTTTCGCATAAGCAGTAAACCGTTTTTTTTTTAGGCGCAACACACCAGTTTTGTACATGTACAAGCTGCGTAAGACAGGACTGTAAGGTTTGAACCACTCACATCGGGAAGGTCCCCTACATGTATACTCGTTTCGATAAGTGTAGTGTGTTCTTTAACGTACTTGGGGTGTGGCTCTCCCCAAACACGGGACCTCCATTTAAAGTGGCCAGAAATGTGGCACATAACAAATTAACATGCCTTCACGGCCCACTACACAATTAAAAAAGTATGTGAGTTACTGCTTTTGACCATTTGAAAATCTATCATTGTGTTAGGAAAAAGATTAGGAATGGTGCCTGAGGCATTTTCTCCTCTTGCCATACATTCGTTCTCATTTCTTGGGATAAAAGTCGATCTGGGACTTGCAGTCATTTTATTCCCTGCGGTTGAAGGATATTTGGTCCTTGCCAGCCGGACATCCTTTCTGCTTACAATCTGCGGCTGTGAGGGCCCCTGCGAGTTGCTAACAGTCGGCAATTTGTCAGCCTTAATGAAGTCAGCCTTCCTTAGGCACCAAATCACACTTCAAAACACGACATCGCCACTTTGCCAGCAAACAGATCACCAGAGGAGCCAGTGCGCATCAGTCACTTTGCCACTGAATTGATTACTGTTTGCACACAGACAAGTCTTTGTCAGGAAGAGCCCAGAAATCCATCCTCTCGAGCCCAATTAGACGGAAAGTTAAGTTTCAAACCAGACAAAGACAATTGACTGTATATTGACGTAGGAGATAAGAGTTCGCTGTGATTATTTCTCCGTAATTGATCCGAGAGGATGACTATTAGCTGCAAAATTTCATATTTAATCTTACAATTAATAATCTTTGTCATAGTCGATTATTACAGATTGTTCAGAAAGTGAATATTTTGTTATCGTAAGGATACACACTTGGAGAGACTTCCCATGCAATTTGGCTGTCTTGTTAGCTAATGACATCATAAGCATTTAGATATATGTAGGAAGTATTTGATAATGTATTTCCATATATTTATAGACCCTGTGATAGTTTGTAACTGATCATGACAAAGCAGTTAGAGGATCATTTTGGAAGTCTAGCCGGTTTGTACATTAAATTTTAGTTTTCAGGCATTTGCCTGAAAATTAAGGAAAAGAATGAATCAGATAAAGATATTAAGATATGTACATAGTACATCAACAAAACGCACAATATGATGCTATTTACGCTTGACATGTAAATTTTAACGACCATTTGTAATTTTGTAGTGAAAGGCTATTATGTCAAATTTAAAACTTGGTAGATTTTAACAACCTTTTTTTTTTACTTTGTAGTGAAAGGCTATTATGTCAAATTTAAGACTCAGTAAATTTAACAACCTTTTTTTGTTTTGCAGAGAAAGGCTATTAAGTCAAATTCAAAACTTAGTAAATTTTAACAACCTTTTTTTATTTTGCAGTGAAAAGCTATTATCTCAAATTTAAAACTTGGTAAATTTTAAAGGCATCCAGTGCAGTTGGAAACAACATTTTTCAAAGTCAATATTCTGGTCACTTATCTACATGCTAAGTTGAAACAACACTGTCCCAATGTATATCGACATTCATGGAGCAAAAATGCAAAAATTCTGAAGAAAAACGGTTACTGAAAGGACCTGAATTGATTTTTAGGGTCCCACACAGAAAATAAATCTTTTTTTATTTCCTACAGTCTCCCCGCAGCTCCTCTCCGCCACCTTCCGGACTGGCAGAAGAAACGGCAGACCTGATCGGCAGGATCACCGAGCTGCAGCAACAGAACTGGCTTCTGGAAGAAAAGGTACAGGAAATCATTGTGGAGCAAGTTTAAACTCTAATTCCCAACACAAGAAATTGGACATACCTAAAATTGCACAACTCCAGTCTTTGTCAGGAGATCCAGTCCTTCTGTGATGTCATGTTTCTCGACTAAAGACTGGAGTTGTACAGTCCAGTTGTGTTTCCCAACTGACCCTTAAAAAAAACTGCTGACTCCAGCCTTCTTTTTTTGTGGAACCCTGCAAGGGATGTAAATATTTCAGGCTGATCGACCTTTTCTAGCTCCATGATCTGACACCTGAGTGATGAAACGTACAATTGGTTTTCTAACATTGCCAATGAAAATGAAAGTGTCCTCATGCAAGTTCTACTTTGTTGAACTGAATTGTATAAGTTGGATCACTAGAGATTGCCAAAGTGTAAAAAAGAAGAAGAAAAAGATAATCCCTACCTACCGACCCTAATTTTTTCCGGACTGAAACAGGAAACACAACTTTTTCTTCCTAGGCCAGAACAGTCGCTGGTAATGCCTAATCAGACAAACCTAGGTCCAAGATGGATTGGGCCTATCTATTTGTTAAGAGGATGCAGAATAATTTAATAATGATTGTTTTCTGCTATGATGCCGATTAGACACCCTTGGGTGATATACAAGTTAAGTAGCATACAAAATGACAATAATTATGTGTTCCCATGTAACAATGAGATGGCAGCCAATTACTTTAGGGATTAAACTAAGAAATGAGCAAGAGTCCTTATCTGAGAGTTATCTTTAAATATGTGTATAATTGCATGGAATTATTCATATGAAAAGTTTATTGGCATAGCCATGTTAATGATGATCTTATCTGGCATATCTATAAGTATGACTTCTATCTTCATTGTGCTTTTCATGAGTAGAAAAATGTTACATACAAGGCAACTTCTTGGTGAGGGTAACAATCGTACTGCATGTCTGTTAAGCTATTGTTTATTGGTAATTTCTTTGGCTGTAAGAGAGACAATTTGTACAGCCAGGGCAGCGCAACTAGCCCAACTGTTAAGCTATTTTATAGATTGGTCTTTGCTTGTTGCACATGTACAACAGCTCCTACTTCCTTGGAAGTCCCACTAATGGCCCCTTCTCCAATGGACTGACTTAGATCCATGCTATTGGTTGTCACGGGCAAACAATAATGTCACTAATTGGAGCACTAAATCACCGTTTCTGTCAATACATAACCGTGAATATGTCTTTTCAGAATCTGTTCTACCGTTTCAGCATATCTGCCCTTCGGTCAATAGAATGCTGAAGGTACACACAGCATTTGGCCATAAGTCACGCCCTTGACTTCTATGTATTAGTAATACTTGTTTTGATTAGGTTTTTGTTATCAAGATTGGCAGAGTTGTCAAATTGTTGCACCGTGGGTATTGCTCAACTCATTTCTTGATGTTGGCTCCACAAAAGATTTTGGTGTACATTTATGTGGCTAGTTAAAAAAAGGACCATGAGAAAATCTGCTGCATATATATGTACCAGTTATCACTTTTACATTCAACCAGCTCAACTGTTCAAAGTCTATACCAGTAGTACAGTCTCTACATGATTGTGTAAAATAGTAAAACATGTATATTAAAACAGAATACATAAAACAGAGCTGTAAAGAGACGATTTGTAGACATTGTTCAAAACTCAACTGTTTGAATCGAGTAAATGTACAGTAGAATGTTGGTCATACTTTCAATTCAATGTTTCCAAAACCACAGGTGAACCACTTGGAGAGCAACAGTGCATCTATGGCAGAAGACCTGATGAGGAAGAGCGCCATTATCCAATCCTACGTCACAGACAGTAGAACAGGTATCAGGGGCTCTTTTCTTTTGCTTTTTTTCCTACTCACTCACTCACTCACTCACTCTCTCTCTCACTCACTCACTCACTCACTCGCTCGCTCGCTCACTCACTCACTCACTCACTCACTCCATCAAGCTCGCTTGGAATCTTCCCACGTCTATTTTTTTCATCATTTTAAAACAATCATTATTGCATTGTAGATTGTCAGACGTCAACAGAGTAGGTTGACAGCACATGGGTAGGAGTGATTGACAGGCAGACACAGAAAATGGAGTGAATGTGAATGTTTCTTACCAGCAGCCAGCAGGAATTAGTTGTTGACATGGGGGAATTCTGGAAGCAGAGGATTACATACTTCCTACAAGTCTGAAATCTCCAACTTCTTAATTGCGTAGAAATGTGTGAGTGTGCAAAAATTGGGACACTGATCTAAAGGTTTGCTGTTATTTGACTAACTAGACAATTCGTCTTTCTTGCAAATGAAGACAGTAGAATGGATAGAACACTAACTCTGCAATTTTCACACGCACATCTGGCACCAGCAGTGGACTAGTTAGGTAAAATGCGACAGGCCACACTAACTTAGTAGGCAGAGTTAGGGAATATACAGTACATCTAACTTACAATGTCATATACTATTGATATTGCCAGTGATTGACCTGTTGATTCCTCAGCAAAGTCTCAAAGAAGGTGACTTGATTCATTATGAGGCATACATGTATATCTTTTAGTGTAAAATCTACAAGTCATATTCTAAAGGTAAAGTCAATATTTTAGTAACTAGGGTAGTGGCTAACACTTGATGATCACAAAATTAATACAATCACAAAATTAATGCACAAAATTAATACAATACTAGACAAATTAATGTTAAAAGTTTATTGGAAATTCCTGTCTGAGGGCTAATTGCAAGGACATAGAAAAACTGTTGAAAGCTTAAAGACAACAAAATAAATGGCTGTGAAACTTGTATGGTTAAGATAATGATGTCAGTTGATGTGATGAAAAAAAATAAAGTAGCGATAGCTTGATGACATTTTCATCGTTTGCATCAAAACCTGTCAATGAACTGGACCAAAGAAGCGCAATAAAAATATTAAAAAGGAATTTTTGGGGCATTTTACAACAGTTTTCATTTTCCCCTTATAGAGATCAATGTACTATAACCTCTGTACCTAGAAATGGACAACTTGTAGCAAAGTGACAAATGACAGACGACCAACCTGTTACATAATCAAACTCCTCTGGGCTATTTATATAGATTTAATTCTTTTATGTAATCCTTACTTACTTTTATGAGATTTGATTTGTCCCCATATGGAGATCAACATACTCTAGCCTATTCACCCAAAAGTGCCACTTTGTGACATATAGTACAATGATGACACATGACATCAGCACAATGTCTTCTCCTCTGGGTTATCAGTAAAGTTGTAGATTTTTTCTCATTAAGTCCATTTTGCAATTCAGGGAGTTTTATCCCTGTAAGGTTTACTTTTTGGTGTCATAAATAAGTAAATAAATAAATGAAATAAATTTATTTCATCTTTCACTCTGTTACACCCAAGTTTTCTGTGAGTACACAGGATGCATGCAGGTGAACACTACCTTCTGCTAACGTATAGGACACTAACATTACATCTTTCTTTGATGAACAACTTCCAACAGCTCACTTTTTTCCTGAATGCTGTTTTTTGTCTCCAAATGGTATCTTTATGTTTACGAAGGAAAACATATTGTTTTTGCTCAGTTTCTTCTTCTTCTGCAAACAAATAAGGTCAATGACCTGAAGCAGACTTCTATCACCATGGTAACTAGTGTTGGATTACATCATGTTGCAATTTTATAGCAGGAGGGATTTAGACTCCTGTCACCATATATATGAATGTGTTTGAGTAAGAGTTAACAGAGCAGGCCATATGCGAAGGTAAACATTTTGCATTTGCTTTGCAAATGTTACCTTTCTAGTTGAATTGTGTTTCCACTGTTGTAAATACCCAGTTTCATGTTCCATAAACACAGTGACGCATTTATGCTGAAGGAAAAGACAATGACTAATCAAAGGTCGGTAATTTTCAGATAATTAGATTTTAAGGTTTCATGAGCCATTATTCTCTGCGTGGTTATGCAATATTGATCTGTCTGTTTTGTGGGGGGAAGAATAACTTGTTAGGATTGATTATTTTTGTCTAGACCTAGTTCTTTTGTGGGAGTATAGCTACCTTGGTGTTTGGAATGGTACACAGTAAAACAAGTTGATGAACTACCTAGTAAGTGACTGTCTAAGTTGCTTTTTCATTCTAACAAAGAAGTATTATAGAAGTAAAACAGTGCATCTTGCATCAACTCTAATTTGAAGTGATAGTATTGAGTCCTAAGATAGGATGTTTTATGTTACACTTAATTTTTTTGGAGTCACAGTTTACTGTACTGTTAAAGTAGTGAATAATGGTCTTCTTAATTGTCAAGAAGACATTTACATTAGAAATGCACCATTTCTGTTTGAACCAGCCTTTGTTCATGAGAAGCTAAAATTGGCCTGCAGGCCACTTTTCATTGAGGTCATGAAAAATATAAAGGTCAGTGCTTAATTTATCAGTAAAGATAATATTATATATATTAATATATATATTATTAGTTACTAGACACCATGCTTGCAAATTTTTGCTTTTGGCCTTGACATTACAATTCTGTGAAGGATTCCACCATTTTCTTGACACAGGAGGATATCATAATGGAAAGTTATGGCCTTATTGTTAATTGCGATGTTGTATGAAAGGACATGAAGTGTTAACAAAGAGTCATAACTACAAGTTTTACATCCAAATTTGATATCCATAGACTGTAGACAGCTCACAAAGGAAACATGTCAGACTCATTCACGTTACAGAGTTTTATAGGCAAATCTGAGTAGGTCCTCTCTTATTTTACTTGCTTCTGGTTTATGTTTTCTTTTCATTGTCATTTGACATTTATAGAGGCAGACTTTATCTAATGTATTGTGCATTGGAATAGGAACACTGGGTCATTGTGAAAGAGTCTAGTTGTTAATTCCATTGTTAAGCACTAGAAAAGAAGCTAGATGTACAATGTCATGTATTTGGCCTGTTGTGGTTGAGCACTATTGAATATTTCAGGTAGTGACACATTCGTCACTAATGATTTATTTATTTGGGTCATGTCAAAATACAAGTTTCTTTGATAAGTGCATGATTGGTACAATAGTGTAGTGAGTTTATTTCTCACACAATAAGAAAAAGAGCCTTACTTAATGTTTGGAAACATGATCATGATGACATAAATATTCTTTTAAATTGCAAAGTCGTTATTGCAAAACTGTATTTTACAGAAAAACACTACCCCCTCTAAATTTTCTACCACTGCATCAATAGTTACGGGCACTCATTATTGCACTCATATAGAAATGTGGAGGGACCTTGCAGTCGCCTGCGCAGCAGCCGACCGATGATGATGAGAAATATATTAAAATCTGCTAGGTCTATGTTACAGGGAAATGGACTAATAATGTAGCCTTTACGATATTTTCACCCCAAAGGAAGAATCTTCCAAGCCGTACTGCTCCAACATTCTCTACAACAGAATCAGAATAAGGGTGCTGCTCCTTCATGTAACCAGCCAGCACCCCCATATCAATTTTCAGATCGAACCCTAAGTGGCGACATACTTAAGTACACAACATTAAGTCTTTCTCAAAATGATCTCTTTCCATGCATGCAGTGAACATATAAAAACAAAACATTGTTATAACAATGCATTCTAGCATTACAAACTGTGTTACTCTTATAAAAATTTGCTTCCCTCCCTCACCATGCTAGTGATCTGCTCCCTTGAGCTAAATTTTTGTAGAAAAAAACTGAGAGTTTACAACATCTTCATCTGGGCCTTTGGAATACAAACCCCCCTGATGAGTCAGGCAGGCCGCAGCCACCACCATGCACCCGTGTAATGTCCAGACCACATTATGGACACACCAAGTAATTTTTATGGATGACGTCCACATGCGCATTGATTTTGGCCTGTTCCCAGAAAAAAACAAGATATTCCGCTTCCTGTAACTGTGACCAAAGAGTCATGAGAGTGATACAAATTGTAAGATTACTGTAAAACCTGTAACGCGAAATATGAGCACAAGAAACAGGACAGGATGACAACTGCTGTTCCTCTGATTTATTGCTGTTTTCATGGCAAACAAATGACTTTGTTGGTTCTCACTCTGTGCTTTCTCATTCAATTTGTGGCCCTCAGTATGTTTCCAATCCATACATCTTGTTTTTTTTTGGCCTTTGTTTTTTTTTCTTCGTTCACGCACTAGATTTAGGGTCTGCAGAGGACGTCATCCATGAAAATTACTTGGCGAAGCCTTATGGACACACACTACAAATGGGATATGACAGGCCTGCGCGTTACGTTTGCCCGGGGATACATCCCACCAATCTCCACCTGCAAACTTCCTCCAGGGGTGACAAACACTGACCCACATGAATGCTTCCTCCCAAATTTGGACTGAATCGACCATCACAAATTGATTGATATTTTTAGGGCTCTACTTGATGTGGTGTATCGAGCGGAAATATGATGGGGGCGTTTCGATAGGTTAGCTAAGCTCAATCAATAAATCCCCCTCAGGGAATCTTAATTTGAGATGAGGAGATTTTTATTATCTGTTGAGTTTCTTAAAGCCTTTTCAAGGCAGTTGACCCATTTTTTTCTCTCAGTCTTTTCTAAGGACTCGTATCAGTATTTAAACATTTGATTATTCGGCAATGGTTTTCTATATACATGTACTGTCAATTCATTTATTTTCACAGTGACTTAGTTTTGTGGTAGAAGGGGAATGGAGGCTTTTACTGTGTTTTCAGTTCCCAGTTGATGTAATGCTGTAGTACAGTTAGTAAGACAAGTAGAATGGAAATACATAATCATGGTGTTGTGAATTTGCAGTGAAGATGGTTGCTGAAAAAATGCAAAAATAAGACCACAGCGAA